TATCTTCCTGGGAGGCTAATCTAATTATTATTACAAAGCTCCTTCTAATATCCAGTGAGGAGTTTTATCCTGAAGTCTTGTACTCTAATGCCAACAGCTTATCGGCCTCCTTTTCCTTAGCCTCTGCAGTGCGTCCTTTTCCCTCCTTTTCATTCCAAACTTTCCTAAGCGGTTCTGAGTTTTTCTCTTTTGTTTTTTAAGATTTTATTTGTAAGTAATCTCTACACCCAATGTGGGGCTCGAACCTACAACCCTGAGATTAAGAGCTGCACACTCTACCCGCTGAGCCAGCCTGTGGTCTGCCCACACTACCTGAGCCAGCCAGGGGCCCTGAGTATTCTGTCTCAGGGTCTTACACTAACTTCTTACTGCTGCAGTAACAAATCGGGTGGCTTGAAAAACCAGACATTTATTCTCTCACAATTTTAGAGGCTAGAACCAAAATCGGGTGCCAGCAGGGCCCTCTCAATCTGAAGGCTCTAGAGCTGTTCTTGACTTGTCTGCCCCCGTGTGCACACAGCCTTCTCTGCGTATCTGTGTTCTCTCCCCTCCTTACGAGGGCACTACTCATTGGACAGAGGACCCAGCCTAAACCCAGGATGATTTTACCTGAGATCCTTAACTGGATACCATTTCCAAGTAAGGTCACGTTCTGAGGCTCTGGGTAGACGTGAAGGGGATATCGGATTCCATACCCCACTGGTGCCCGGACAGAGTCCGCCATCTCCAAGCCGAGCCCAATCTTGGTAGGGGCTGATCTTGCTCCTATTCCCCTACAGGGCAACCCCAAGAAGACGAGGGCTTCTGGCCAAAGCCTGCCATCTCGGGTCACCTAACACCCCATTAGCATCTGGGCCCTTGTGCTGAGAGAAGCCCTGAGCCCCCGACTTCCCAGGTAGGCATGAGGCCTCAGGATGGGAAGGAGCGCCTCAAAGCCTCTGCCCCACCCCTGAAGCCTCCCTGCTGAGAGCAAACTGCATCTCCAGAGTCCTGGCAGGTTTGGGCCATGCTGGGCTTTCCCTCTGCAGGAGGAAGGAGCTTCCTGTTGTCCTCAGACCCTTGCCACGTGCAAGGACCCTGGAAAAGTGCACCCTCCAAGTGAATGAGAAAGGGAGTCCCCACCACACATGACAGAGCCCACTGCCGTGCCCCCTCCGCCAACTGGAATATCACTGAGAAAAGGTGGACCCCACGGTCAGCACAGACAGCCGCAGCTCAGGCAGTCACCTTGGCCCTGGCAGCCCCGCTAAGGACCCACCGCGGACGCACGCACATGCTCTCTGCATTGCCAGTACTGCCACCACGTGGCCAGAAACAAAGCTGCTCATCCCCAATTCGCCCTCCTGGTGACGACCCCAGAAGTCTTGCCTCCCGGACACCCCAAGACATCAGCAGCAATCATACATGTCTCTGCACATGTCAGACACCCCCAAAGCCTCTGGAGACCCAGACATACCTACAGTGACCAGGCACTCACTTTGCTTCTCGAGTACACAACACTGAGCTCCCAAACGAGCCACGCGGGAGAACCTCCCCTCGGGTGCCAGCCTTAGCACGCACCCCCAGAGCACCACGCGAACGGCTGGCTTCTGCAAGTCCGGGTTCAAGGATATAAAACGTGCACATTTCAGCCATCAGCCCCAAGACAGAATTACAGAAAAGTCACCAGAAGGGAAACTGACTGGAGTCGGTCTTTGATGTTTGGTGACAGGTGGCTTTTCGTCCTGCCCATCCCACCCTCTGTTCCACATATGGGCAAGCGGGTAAAAGCCACCCATGGAGAACTCAAACCACAGACGCCGGGCCCATGCAGGAGCCCTGCCTGCACCCCACCCGACCACAGAAGAGCAGGCTGGTCGCTCCCCCTTGCGGCGTCAGGCCACTCAGACCTGCCTCCCGGGAACCTCCGTCCCCGAAAGCCTGGTTCTGTGACAGACGGCCTCTGCAGACCCCCTGGGAGATCACGGAGCTTCATCACTGTTGATAATTGAGCCAAAATGGGGTCACCGTTGATCCCACCCCTCTGCTCTTAGGACTTCGAGGCCCGATGGTCCTTCGCTTCTCCTCTGGGCGGCAGGGAGGCCCCTGCACGCAGCCTTGCCTGGCAGACGTCGCTGCCCACTGGTACACGAAGGCTTCCAGGCAATTCGAGGATCCTGGGTCGTTCAGCTCCTCCTAACCTGCTCCTCGCGCAAACGCTAGCGCAGTGTTCCTTCGCCGCCCAAAGTGGAGAAGCCAGAGGACGCGGTTCCCGCAGTCGCGCAGCCGGTACGCTGGGGCCTGCTCGGGCCGGTGCCGCTCGTCCCCTCCTGCTCCGGGTCGCACGCGCGCTCTCGCCGGGGCTGTGGCGGCTTCTCTGGCCATCTGAGATGCCTCCGCTCCCCTCCACTCCTGGGGGCCTGGCACAGGCTTCCTGTGAGCAGTTCTTTCTTTTTTTTTTTTTTTTAAAGATTTTATTTATTTATTTGACAGACAGAGATCACAAGTAGGCAGAGAGGCAGGCAGAGAGAGAGAGGGAAGCAGGCTCCCCACTGAGCAGAGAGCCCGATGCGGGACTCGATCCCAGGACCCTGAGATCACGACCCGAGCCGAAGGCAGCGCGGCTTAACCCACTGAGCCATCCAGGCGCCCCTGAGCAGTTATTTCTTTCAAGATCCTATTCCGTGATGCCCGAGCTCCACAGCCGCCCGCAGGGGTCGGACCCGCAGGGAGTCCACGTGCTCCGGGGGCTCCCGGATGGGCTTCCTCGCTCCTCCGGGAACTTCGGAGCCCTGTGACGGCGCCGCCGGCAGACTTCGTTTTTCTCCCACTTGGGGCTTCTTGATTCCACGGATCAACGTCCGCAGTCTGTCTGCGAGAACTACCTGCCACCACCCCGTCGGATGCTGCCTGTGACCCATTCGCTCCCTCAGCTGCTCCTGACACCACACACTAGAACTTTCCATGGATCCTTCATGGTCTTGCTACTCAAGTGTCATGCGCAAACCGGCAGCACCGCTACTCCCAAGACGCTTTTAAAACATCAGACTCCAGGGGGCGCCTGGGTGGCTCAGTCGGTTTAGGGTCTGACTGGGTTTCAGCTCAGGTCATGATCTCAGAGTCCTTGGATCGAGCCCCGCATCGGGCTCTCTGCTCAGTGGGGAGCCTACTTTCCCCCCTCTCTCTGCCTGTTGTTCTGCCTACTTGTGATCTCTATGAAATAAATAAACAAAATCTTCAAAAAATAAAAATAAACAAAGAACATCCCCAGTGGTTCATATTTCATTAAAGCCTGAGAAGGACTGGTCTACATCTCCTACCCTTTTTCCATTTACCTCACTCAGTATCCGCATTTCATTCCAAGTAACCTCTTAACTTTTTCACTGATGCAGAAAACAACATACAGAAAAGCGCACGAAACCAAACACAACGCTCGATGCATCACTACAAAGCAAATATTCTCACTGCCACCCAAGTTAAGAAATGGGACCGTTGCCTGAGGCCCACAAGCTCCCATCTGCCCCCGATCCCGGGGTGATTCCACACTGTCCGTCCTTCTGTGAAACCCAGCCACTGAGTACAAACACCTCCGTACTCAGTGTTTCTATTCTGGAATCTCTACTTGGTTCCTCTCTGAATCTGTGATGTCCGTTTTCAGGGCTTTGAGCTCTGCTGAAATCCACCTCCCCAAACACAGCAAGCACAGGGTGCTGGCGGGTGAGGACCCCAGCATCTGTGGCTCACCCGCCGCTCGAGCTCCTATGCTCTCATCTCTCACGTAACTGGTTAGCGCCAAGTGGGTGCTGAAAACCGCATTTCAAAACAGAAATAACAGGCGGCCTCGGGGACGTCATCCCTCCCCAGGAAGAAGTCTCGCTTACTCCTCCCAGGCAGCCAGGGTGCCGGGCCACAGCCTGGGGGAGCACGGCCCCGCCTGCAGGAACCCGATGCTCCACCCTCACAGCCCCTTGCTCCCCGGGTCCCTGGGCCGTCAGAGGGCTCCGGCCTCTCAGCTGCCGTGGGGTAACCGTCTCCGGGGCCAGGCCACCCCACTGCCGCCGGCTCTGCTCTGACTGCCACCGGATCTCCTGAACCCCGGTCTAGACGCTCGTTCTGGCTCCTCTGACATCGCCCGGCGATGTCCGCATCCCGCCCTGACCGGCTGTCCCGGCAGACAAGTAACCGGGAGCCCCGCGGCCCACCACTCCCATAGGGAACCACGGCAGGCTCTTCGTCTACACAACAGACTCTCAGGTGGGTCTGGGGATCCCAGTTACACTTACTCTGAAATCTTCTTCGACAGCTGCCAAACGGTTTATGTGAAATCTCGTTCATCAAATGTTACTTATTTTGTGCTAAGCTTAGTTCTTCCAGTCAGTTCTGCACGCATATGAAGCTGCTCCCGGACATCTGCTCCTCTTGAGTCCCAGGATGGGACGCCAGCCTGCCTGGCCTTCCCAGGGCCTCCTTCCCCAGAGGTGGGGACACCGCCTCCAGCTCAGAGCCACTGCCCGCTTTCCTTGTTTCTCCCGGCCAAACCCTCCCAATGCCCAGGAGTCACTTCTAAATGGACATTCTGGTAACACAGGCTTCTGGCGCCCTGGGGAAGTGCTCACGTTCGTCAAACATGCCTCAGTTTCTCCTGAGTTGGGCCTTAGCTGGGACTTGAAACAAGGGAAGGAAGTTAAGAACGCAGACGAGAGAAGGACTGCAGGGAGGAGAGAGCCTGCCAGCGAGGTCAGGGGACAGGAGAACAGGAGCATGCAGAGCCCACAGGCAGCCCATGGCTGGGTCTCGGCGACGGCTCATGAGAGGCAGAGACAGGGCTGGGGAGACAGGCTGCTGCGGGCGGCTGAGCTGGACAAGAGGACGGGGGACCAAGCAGGAGAACGATGGCCTGTTCTGCCACATCAGGCGCCCAGCTCCAGGAGCCACCCACCACAGCGGTCACAGGCCCAGACTGTCCATGACCCTGGGAGACAGCTAGGACCTGCGGAGGCTCCCAAGAGCCAGAGACTCACCAGCAGGAAGGGGCCCTCTGGACGGTCACAGGCCTGCAAGGCCGACGAGTGCGCAAGCAGGGAGAAGGAGGCCCACTCCCTGCCGTTCTCCGCCTTCCACACCTTGATCAGGCCCAGCTTGTCCACGGTGACAACAAGCTGCAGCCGAGGGAAGGTCACCAAATTCACCAGAGCGGCAGGCTGCACAGGGCTTGACCAGATCTCTGCGCCCTGGGCAACGACAGCAGGGAAAAAATAATGTATACGGGGGCCATTCATTTCACAAACGCAGGAACCTTGCCTGGGGCACCCGGGGACGCATAGGCGGAGAGAGCACAGTCCCCACGCTCACAGGAGCCACAGCGCGGGGCAGAGCCCGACACAGACATGGTGCTTCAGGGCACAGCAGTGGCTGAACTGGGGGTGTATGGAAATCCCCAAGTGCCGAGTGGCACCACCAGGATGGGGGATGGGGGCCAGCCACACGACTGCATCCAGAGGACTTGCACGCGGACCGTCTCCCTCGGGCCTCGGCAGTCCCGCTCTACAGATTAGCTGACTCTGGCTCGCGGGTGAGAACGGGTCACACAGCATGTCTGTGTCATCAGCGTAAAATACTCCTCTTCCTGTGAGCTGCCCTGGCCAAGGCCCCGGATGGGTGATTCTATGGTCTTTCCCAGGACTGTAAGAACTGGAATGGGCGGGAAAGAGCCGGTGCCCCGGGCCCAGGGCACCTGAAGGCAGGACACCAGGGATTCATCTGCGACGTTCTGTTCCTGGTCTCCCACAGCTGCCCCCTGGGCTTCCATTCCCATTCTGGGTCATTATGATGCTTTCTCTATCACATGTTCATTTTACCATGATCTTTATCTCTTTTCTCCAACTACAATACTCGGGATTCCTCTGAGTTCCTTTCTCAGCTGATTTCTGTTGCTCGAGCAGTCACATGACACAGGGGACAGCAAGGAGCCTCAGGGAGCACAGCACGTTCACCAGCGTTAGTGAAAGAGGCATGAGACTCCCTCCCGGTGTTGGGGTGGAGGCGGGGGTCAGGGGTCAGAGCGCAGAAACACACCGACCAGCGACTGCCGGGCAACGCGCCTGCCGCAGGGTCCAAAGGGGCTGCCGGCCGCACCAGGACTCTGACGCCAGAAACAGACTAACTGGCACCCTAGAATTCTCCAGGGACAGCGGATGAGCAGCGGCACAGAAAGCCAGACCAGACACCAACATAACCAGTCAAAAGCATGGTCTTGCAGACTATGCTACGTGGAAACTAAGATCATTTTTGAAAAGGAGGATTTACTGGGGCGCCTGAGTGGTGCAGCCGGTTGGGTCTGCCCCTGGTTTCAGTTCCAGTGGGATCTCATGGGCCGTGGGATCGAGCCCCACGACAGACCCCATGCTCAACGGGGAGTCTGCCTGAGACCCCCTCGCTCTGCTCCTCCCGCTCGTGTGCGCTCTCTAAAATGAATACGTAAATCTTTAAAAAGAAAGAAATACTAACCGTAGGAAAAGCCGCATGTCAGTTTGCCTCACAGCTCGGTGTGAAAAGCACTTACACGACTATACACCTGCTGACCCTACAGATACTCGTTTGGGGACAGGAAGATGGCTCTGTGGAGACGTGGGAGGAAGAACGGGGCTTGTTCTCTACAGGTTTGCTCGTGAGGAGTACGAGGGTTGTGCGACCAGGCGGGACATACGCAGACGGTGTGGGTTCTCAAAGAGGCTCGTGCAGGCCAGACAGATGACACCGCAGCAGAGCTCAGCCAAACCCAGCCCACTGCTCGTGCTCGTATCTTCGTTAACAAAGAAAAAGACCACTGCGCGCCCCATACGTCAGCGGGCGTCGCCAGCTCTGCCAGAACACGGCCACTCTCCCGTTCGCGGTCTGCTCCTGTGTCGTGCCTGCAGAATGGGGGCTGCAGCGGGACCACAGGGCCCGGGACCGACGTCTGCCGAGCCCATACCCAGCGCTCTCCCCGTTCAGGTGGAGACCTGAGCACCCGGGCAACGCCAGGGCCTCCCGCCCGCCAGGCCTTCTTCTGCCAAGCCCTCCCCGACCCCGGGTGACCAGGTGTCCGCCGCCCAGCAGGTGCTTCAGAGAGGCCCCAGGAAGGCAGGCAGCCTCCTGCCCCGGCAACCACAGCGCCTTCCCGTGAAGTGACCTCAAACACTGCCTCGGAGAAGGAAAACCAAGCACGAGAAGAGAAAACTATCAGCACTTCTCAGTGAGAACTGGGCCATGGAGTAGAGAGAAATGACGCAAACAGGACATGATTTTGCATCCTTTAAACAAAAGCAAGCACGGGGCTAAGAGCAGGCTCCTGGGAACGGAAGAATTTTCTGCAAAGCAGGCAGCCAACACACACTCTCTGTCTCCCAGACTCTGAAGTGACCTGTGAGCGGAGCAGGGACCCCCAAGGCTGGCTCGGGGGTGCAAGGACGCAGCCCCGGCAGCCGGCTTCCCTCGCAACCAACAAGGCAGGCCCAGGTCTCCGTCGGCGTGCTGAGAGCCAGCGTGCCCAAAGGGACCGGGGAAATCTGGGGCACCCCCCCCCGCCGCTGTCTGGGCACGAACTGGGCACTAGCAGCAGACCTGGCTGACGGTGACACGAGCAGGCCTCCCACTGCACGCAGCAAGGACCCCGCGGTGCCTGGCCGGTCCAGCGCTTTCAAAAACAGGAGGTAAAATCTGTAGCTTTCTGGGGAAAAGTCCTGTACAGGAGATTGGGTTCTATGCGTGCAGAAGCCTTGGATTACAGGGAACCACATGGTTCAAGACTCGGAAACACTTCCCGGCATCTCATATGGATCGTCTGTAAAATCGGGATGATAACGCACGCTCTGCTCCGCTGCTCAGAGAATCCGTGAGAAAACGGACTGCAAAGCTTTTTCACTACAGTGACAACCGAGTGTGACATGCCAGTCTCAGCACTTAATGATACACAGGGGTAACTACAAGGGGCAACTGCTGGGGCAAAACGGCCACGCCTGGACACTGGCTCCACCGTGGATACGGCGGGAACGGGTACAGGGGCAGCCACCTCGCCCCTGCCGCTCGTGCCCTCCTCCCCGAGGCAGGCCACACAGAGTCAAGGGCAGGCCAGGGTCCCTCTGCGATCGGACGAGAGTTCCAAGCGCAGCCAACGCTTATCTGTACCACGGGGATCCCGCCGCCTAGAAGCAGCCCACGGGGGTGACCGGCTAGTGAAGGGGAAGGCCTCACCAAGATCCTGTGAGCTGCGCCCTGCCCCCCGCCCAGCTCACCTCCTGCACATCCCAGGCACGCACAGTGCTGTCCGAGGACACGGTGCACACCACCGACTTCTCCTGCCCATCAAACCGGCACCCGCTGTTTGAGACGTAGGCCAGCTCGTCTATGCCTCCTAGAGAGAACAGAGACTCGCCCTGAACGCACACACGTATGTCTGGGATGCGGACACGCAGACTGGGGAAGGACAGGCGGGACGCTCCGTCCTCCCTCTCTCTCTCACACAGAGCGCTCCTTCGGGGACAGCAGTGGCCACAGGCCTTACACCCAGGACCGCCCCTCTCACCGCCACATGGCCACAACTCCCTACTCTCCCGCTCTCTGTTTCTCTCTACTCTGAAACAAACGTAACGATCCCTTCCTCACGGGGTGACTTCGAGCACCAAGTGACTAAGCCAAATCCAGAACCCAGCAGGGCAAGCGCTCATCAAGCAGCGCCTTCCCTCTGTGGCTGAACACCACATCCCAGGGCGCGCGACCCAGAAGGTGAGCAGCAGGGAAGCTCACGGCCATACCTTTGTGCCCAGCAATGGCTTTGCAGATGAAGTCCCTCTCCGGCCGCCCACATTCCACTCGGAAGTCCAGCTCGGCCCGGCAGAGATAGTACTGTTTCCACGTCTGCGTGCCCAGGGTCACCTGCGAGGCTTTGCATGAGGACCAGCGCCTCAGACACAGCTGCCTGGAAAACAGACCCACGATCCCGGGCAAGACAGGCCAGGTGTTAGAGGAAGGTACGACGATGCCCGCAGGAGCAGCTCTGATTCCCGGCTTCACCACCTAGTGGCTCGTACAATGCACGCTGCCCACGGGGGCCTCAGCTTCCTCCACTGCGGAACGGGGACGGCGATGAGAGGACACCGAGCACGTGCTCACCACGGCCCTGCGGCAGTGCCTCTCGGGTATTCGGTCGGTTTTCTCAATACCTCCATGAAGCAGGTCCTCGGACAACCCCTTGTACGTAACCGGGGCTTTAACCGATCCAAGGCCAAGGGCATGCAGCTTTGGTCATGGAACTGTAACTCAAGAGAGGGCGCCTGGGGGTGCTCAGTGGGTTAAGCCCCTGCCTTCGTTTTTTTTAAATATTTTATTTATTTGTCAGAGAGAGTGAGCACAGGCAGAGTAGCAGGCAGAGGCAGAGGGAGAAGCAGGCTCCTTGCTGAACAGGGAGCCCGATGTGGGACTCGATCCCAGGATGCTGGGATCATGACCTGAGCTAAAGGCAGCCGCTTAACCAACTAAGCCTCCAGGCATCCCTAAGCCCTTGCCTTTGACTCAGGTCGTGATCTCAGGGTCCTGGGATCGAGCCCCACATCAGGCTCTCTGCTCAGCGGGGAGCCTGCTTCTCCCTCTACCTCTGCCTGGCACTCACTCTTCCTGCTTGTGCTCACTCTCTCTCGCTGACAAGTAAATAAAATCTTTAAAAAAAAGTATTTCGGCGTGCCTGGGTGGCTCAGTGGGTTAAAGCCTCTGCCTTCGGCTCAGGTCATGATCCCAGGGTCCTGGGATCGAGTCCCGCATCGGGCTCTCTGCTCAGCGGGAGCCTGTTTCCTCCTCTCTCTCTTGCCTGCCTCTCTGCCTACTTGTGATCTCTGTCAAAAAAATAAATAAAATCTTTAAAAATAAATAAATAAATAAAAGTATTTCTTGAAGTCTCCAACTCTTACTGCTGAACTGTCCATTTCTCCCCTTAGCTCCAGCAGCCCTTCATGCATGCTGCTGCTCTGATCAGGTATGTGTGCACCTGTAATTTGCAGATCTTCTTCGGGGAAGGACCGACCATTAAAACAGCCTTCTTTGTCTCTACAATGCTTCTGGTCTTACAGTCTGTCTGATATCAGCATGGCTATTCCAACTTGCCTTTGGTTACTGTCTGCATGTACGTCTGTTTCCATTCTTTAACTTTCAACATATCTTTGAACCTAAAAGGTCTCTTGTAGACAGCGTAAAGTCGGAAACTGTTTATCCCCTGTGACAACCTCTACCTTTTTACTGGAGTGGACACTTCATACGTTTCACATAATTTGTGGCAAGGCGTGATTTACATGTCATCTTGCTACTTATTTCTAAGTTTTATGCATTTTCCCCTCTAGTCTTCTGTTTCCACCTTCCTTTGTGTTGAATATTTTCTAATGCACTATTTTATTCCCTTGTCATTTCTTCTACCGTATTTTTTGAGTTCTTAAGGTTGTCTTGGAGAGTAATCTAGTTTTGTTTTATGCATTTTCCCCTCTAGTCTTCTGTTTCCACCTTCTTTTGAGTATTTTCTAATGCACTATTTTATTTCCCTTGTCATTTCTTCTACCTTATTTTTTGAGTTCTTAAAGTTGTCTTGGAGGGTAATCTAGTTTTGCTTACCATCAACTTAATTTCAACAGTACTCAAAAACCCTACTCCCATGTAGCACCATCTCTTGCCCCCTCCAACTGCGCTGCTACGTCTACAAATTACATTTTATACATGATATATGCCTCAACAGAGATCCCCACAATTATTGTTTTATACGGCTATAATTTAAATCACAAAGAAAAACAGACTTAAAAATAAGCACATTTATACTGCCTCTTACAGACACCTACAGACTTACCTCACTAGAGTCTTTTTTCTAATGTGGAGTCAACTTACTGCCTAATGTCCTTTCCTTTCAACCTGAAAGACTCCCTTCAAGATTTCTTGTAGGGCAAGTGTATAGCAACAAACCCTCTCAGCTTTCGCTAATCTTAAACGGTCTTCATTTTCTCCTTTATTTTTCCAGACATTCAACTTTAAGTAACGGTCTTTTCTTTCAACACGTTCAGTGTCATCCCACTACCTTCTGGGTCCCGTGTTTTGTCATGAGACACCAATGGTTAAATCTCACGGGTCGCACATGAGTTGCTTCGCTCTTGCTGCTTTCAAGATTCTCTATCTTCAGCTTTCGAGTTTGATTACAGTGTGTCTTTTTAAATATTTTATTTTTTTAAAGTAATCTCTACCCCCAACGTGGGGCTTCACTGAACTCATGATTCTCAGATCAAGAGCTGCGAGCTCTACCCGCCGAGCCAGCCGGGTTCCCTACAACGTGTCCTGACGCGGACGGACTCTGGGAGGCAGCCGTGCTGCCTGCCGCACTAAGGCGACACTGGTGACGTGGAACTCCTTGAGTTTATCCCACTTGCGGTTCACTGAGCTTCTGCCCGTGTAAATTAACATCCTTAATCAAATCTGGGAAGTTTCCAGACCTTACTTCTTCAGATATTTTATTCCTTCTCCTTTTTCCCTCTCATTCAGGGCCTCCTGTTACGCAACGATGGCGTGTCTCATGGTGGCCCACAGGTCTCGCAGTCCCGCTAGTTTTTCTTCCTTCTTCACATTCATGCTATTCTTCACACCGGATAATATCCATCGACTGATCTTTATTTTTTTGGTTTTTTTTAAAGATTTTTTAAAATTTACTTGACAGAGAGATCACAAGCAGGCAGAGAGGCAGAGAGAGAGATGGGGAAGCAGGCTCCCTGCTGAGCAGAGAGCCCGATGCGGGGCTCGATCCCAGGACCCTGAGATCATGACCTGAGCCGAAGGCAGAGGCTTTAACCCGCTGAGCCACCAGGCATCCCTTGACCGATCTTTAAATTCACTGATTCCATCTTCTGTGGTTAAACCCCAAGTGTGTAGAGTATCATTGTCTGCCTTACAATTTCTACGTAGTTATTTTCAGAATTACTCTTTACAGATAGTCTCTATTGGATGAGACTCTGTCCTACTTCCCTTTAGTTCTTTGCACATGGTCGCTTCTAGTTGTTTGAACATAATGGAAATAGCTGATTTAAATTCTTTCTCAAAGTTTCTGTTGTTTGCTTTATTTCCTACGTATAAGCTATACCTTTCTTATTTCTTTGCATGACTCATAACTTCTGTTGAAAACTGAACATTTTAAGTAATGTCAAATTCTAGAAATCTGACCCCCCCCCCAGGTCTGCTGTTTCAGCTATGTGCGGTTATTGTTTATTTAGTAACATTTATGAACAAATCCTGAAAAGCCTGCGTTTTTTGTCACACATGGCCACTGAAGTCTCTGCTTAAATTAGAGCTCACCAGCAACTGGCCACGGATTTCCAAAATGCCTGCAACTACGAAGTCTGCTGCTCATCCCCAAAGGGCCCCTGTGCGTGCTGGGGTGTGCATTCAGCACTCAGTACAGCAGCCGAGAGCTGTACCCAAGCCTTCACCTCCTACTTGCGTAGAACCTCCGGGTCAGCCAAACAAGTGAGTTTAGAGCCTTCCTAGGTCTCCCTGAAACTGTGCACACCCCCGTTGCATGTGGCTGGGCTTTTCGATTCCCAGGCAAGTGTCGAGCTTTTCAAAGCCCAAGCCCCAAAAGACATCACATTCTCGGCTTCTTCTTTTAAGCTTTTTGGTTAGCCTATTTGCTCAACTGCTGTCCATCATCTCTGACAGTCACAAAGTTAATCAGGTGTCAGTTACTGTTTTGACAAAGGTCCCGAAGGAGAGGCTTTCACACTGAGTGAACTCCAAGTCAGACCAAATAAAAACAGTAGGCCCCTGGGGTCTTCCAAGAAATACCAGCAGGTCAAATAACGACAATTCTCTGGTAATGAGAATCCAGTCCCATTCTTTCCCCTCCAGTGACTGCCAAGCTCCTGGTTTCACGGGGATCGTGAGCCGATGACATTCAAGACTAACGCAGAACTGGAGACATTTATGGGAACAGGGCAAGAAAACTTGCTGTTCTAAGATTCAAATATTTTTTCTTGAATGAACACTTCCTTGACTACTACAAGTCTCTTGTTAATTTCCAGAGTTCCGAAAAAGTCGACTTTGACAATTTGTGTCTTTACTCACTGCTTTGAGAGAGGAGAAAATTTTCAAATCCACCATGTTCCAGAGCCTGCATTCTGTGCTTCCATGCAACTGCTGGCCATTCTAGGATAGCAGCTTTGTCACCAGGCTTTTGAGAACAAGAACATTAGCTCACAACTCTAGAGAACTGTGGACTCTGCGTCGAGTCTGTGGGCACCACAGTGAGGGAGACGTGGCTCTTACCACAGGGCACTCTCGGCCAGTGGTTAGGAGAAGCAAAATGGAAGTTCACGGGAGAAACGTGACATTTCAGAAGGCGCAACCTGTGACACGGGACCTGAGCACAGAGAGTGGACTTCTGGTGAGAAGACGGCCAGGAGGTTGCTCAGGCAGAGGCCTCCGGCGCTGCACAGGGCAGCTCGGCCCCCTCCTGTGCGTCCTGGAACGCCGGGCCTGTACGTAGCGTACAAGGGCTCCCGGGGGGCTCAGGTCATGACCTCCGAGTCCTGGGATCAAGCCCCGAGTCGGCTCCCTGCTCTACAGGGGGTCTGCTGCTTCTTCTGTCCCTCCCCCTACGTGTTCTCTCAACCTCTCTCTCAAATAATAAATAGAATTTTTTTTTTTAATTCAACTTAAAAAAAAAAAAGTAGCATGCTGGCAGCCTATGCGCCCAACGGACCCTGATTATTCTGCTCAGCTGGCACAGGACCAGCCCACGCGGAGTGGCTGCCACACCAAGAAGTCGTAAGTTTTCACATGAAATTCAGGAAAAGGCAAGTGGTCTGGCTATGCTGAACCCGAATTCCCACCTTCCAGAATCTGTCCAGAGCTGCATAAACCTGTACCCTTCAGCTAAAGACGAGCTCTCGGCTTCGCCACCTCTTCTACCTTCTGGATGTTCAGACCGAGTGTCAGTGAGCTCCCATCACTGCTCCTTATACTGTTGCTTTTGAGTTGAAATAAGAAGGGAAATTTCTTGTACCCTATCTTAATCTAAAATGTGTGAAAATGAAAGCTAGACCAAGAAGATAATATGGCTTCAGAAAAAGTCAAGTCATGTTGCTTTGTGGAAGTAAAGTCTATTTTACGTATTTAAGGCCATTACACACCATTACACAAATCTTAAATAGGACCCATGACCAATACTTAGAAGAAATGAAAAGAACAAATGATTTGAAAAAACAAAGGCAGACTGGGGCGCCTGCGTGGCTCAGTCAAGCAGCTAACTCTTCATCTCAGCTCAGGTCTTGATCTCACGCTCATGAGTTCAAGCCCCATGCTGTGGCGCCTACTTTAAAAACAAACAGGGGCACCTGGGGGGCTCAGCGGGTTAACTGGCTGCCTTCGGCTCAGGTCAGGATCCCGGGATCCTGGGACTGAGTCCTGCATTGTGCTCCCTCCTCAGCGGGAGCCCGCTTCTGCCTCTGCCTGCCCCCTCCCTGCTTGAGTGCTCACTATCTGTCTCTCTGACAAATGAATAAAATCTTTAAAACTAACAAACAAAACAGAAAAACAAACAAAAAAAAAACAAACAAACGGGACGCCTGGGTGGCTCAGTCCGTTCAGCAGCTGCCTTCGGCTCAGGTCATGATCCCAGGGTCCTGGGATCGAGCCCCGCATCAGGCTCCTTTTGCTCAGCAAAGGAGTCTGCTTCTCCTTCTCTCCCTGCCTGCAGTTCCCCCTGCTTGTACTTTTTCTCTGAGTCAAATAAATAAATAAAATCTTTAAAACAAACGAAGGAAGACCATCAAAAAGGTTAAAGTATGAATAACGAATAAAGTATGTGATATGTCCCTGAATTTCGATGTTATCAAGTGAAAAAATACTGTGATACCAAAACTTTTCACAGATAGCAATTAGTAACGATCTGTTGTACACAACAGAAATTATGTACCTTAAACAAAAACCAGTATTTGCAACTTTACTTCTAACCAAAAGTTAATGTTCAGCATGTTGAAGGTAGAATTTAAAAGGTCATGAGACATTAAAAAAAGGAACTAGCAGCATTCTCAATTAAAATTACAGAGTACGTATTAAAAACATATGACCAGGGCGCCTGGGTGGCTCAGTGGGTTAAGCCTCTGCCTTCAGCTCAGGTCATGATCTCAGGGTCCTGGGATCGAGCCCCACATCAGGCTCTCTGCTCCTCGTGGAGCCTGCTTCCCCCTCTCTCTCTGCCTGCCTCTCTGCCTACTCGTGATCTCTGTCAAATAAATCAATAAAACCTTTAAAAAAAAAAAGACCACTTAACTACATTCATTTGCTGTGTTCCTAAGAATTTCTAATGCGCCTGGAGAAACTCTGGGGCCTGGTACCCATGAGAGACACAGCATCAGAAATGATACATGCATGTGACCACAGAGGTCGGTGCTCCAGAAATGCTGCTGTCCCCACTCCAGAAACATAAACCCACTGTTTTTACAAGAACACAGTTCAAGGCTACAATGCTGAGGAGTGACTGAATGCTGAAACGGTCTAGCAGCAAATAGTATGAAATAGTAACGAATGGAAACCCACCGGTGACCGGGTCGCAGAAGCCAAACCATCTACCGGAGGAATCAGAGGCACAAGGCAACACATGACATATGTGAGGAGGTCAGTGATAAGCCACAGAAGGTATGTTCCGAACTGCTGAAAGAAAGCCACTCCTGTCAGTCCAACAGAAACTCCTCTCCTTGCTGAGCATCGAAGATGAGCACGAAGGCTGGGGTTGGTCTGGCGTCCCACCTACTTCCACGTGTGAGTACCGCTCTGCCGGGCTTCCGCAGATACTCGCACCAACCCGCCAGTCACTCCACTTATTTCCTATGACACAAAGTCACTGAGAATCGTATCTGGCAAAGACAGAATTCTGTCCACCCCCACAGAAAAACCCATCTCCAGAACTGGATGTTCTATCTAGAGCACACTCCCCCAAACTGTAAATACAGAAAGCCAGTAAAAGTTCTCTTCAAAACTAACTAAAGGGATCAGTGTAATTTTTCTAGCTAGTATCATTAGCAATAACGAGTGAATGAAAACCAACAGATACTACAGGACACTGAACACTAAATACAGCAAGTCTGGTCTTCCAGAATTCTCAAATATCTCAATGCACAGCCATCCTGGAAACAAAACCCATCAAGCAAAGATTCCCTCCACGTTTGTCAGTCCCTTCACGTGTGAACAGCTGTGGCAGCTAAAACCTAACACAGCTCCCAGCTGACAGTCACGGCTATCGTCTCTCATCCAGCAAGAGACAGACTATCTGACACTCCTTTCTTGGAACAAAAGAAGTCAGGTTCCAAAGGGAAAATGGATAAGAAAGAAAAACATAATAAATTAATGATTAAAATATTTTTTATTTTCAAATTTAATTTTTTAAGAACATTTTGAGAGAAACAGCGAGCACACACACAAGAGAGCGCATGAGCGGAAGGAAAGGCAGAGGGAGCAGCAGATTTCCCATGGAGCAGGGAGCCCAAACCCCTTGTGGGACTCCGGGATCGTGGTGTGAGCCGAAGACAGACATTTAACTGACTGAGCCACCAAGGCGCCCTGATTTTATTTTTTTAATTTTAGTATCGTATGTGCTTATACAGCTCTGCGTTGTTGCTGTCACACACGAGTTCAAATTAAAGCAGTTTGTGGACAGTCTTGTCAGCCAGCCGTGCGCATTTGCTGTATCTTTCTGCCCGAGTTTCGTACTCCTGCCGTATATCGCTCTCTCATTCAATTAATAAAACTCTTGTACTTCAATACACTATTTAAAAAAGGAGTATTACAGCCTAACGGGAGGGGGAGGGAAAGAGTTTCCTGCCGATAGGTGCTGCGGATTGTCCTTTCTCGTGAACTCATCAAAGCCAGAAACAGTGCTCACAACCCTTACCCAGCGCCCCCTCACGTTTGTGGGACACTCTCCTGCCAACATCTGGCTTTTCCTTCACTCACCTCCACAGCTCGTTGGTCCTTGAAACTTCATTCCAGACCTAGAACAGGAAAGCACAGAAGAGAACGTCAGTCAACGGCAGTCGGCAGCGAGCCGGGCCGACACTGCGCGACGGGCGAAGCGCTGCATCAGACTCAGTGCCCGCGGGCACAGGGACTCGCCCTGCGGAGACAGACAGACTTGGAGAGTCCAATAAAAACAACCAGATGAGTGAAAAAGGAGAGACTGGCCAACTCAACGGAGCCAAGGGGCTCCGAAGCCACTACTGATCAAGCCCCCGATGGGAATGAAGCACTCCAGGGAGAGGTACGACTACTCCAGCAGAGATTCCGATGTAAGAAAAAAAGGAGGAGTATTCTGCCGTAATTGGAGCACGGGGTTCTGGGGAAAGGAGCTAGAGATCTATCAGACCCAAATCGCAAAGTCCTACTTGCAAAAACTGTGAGAAGCTACTCGGGAACTGGCTGGAGGAACGCAGGGTGACGCTGATTTAGGACCAGGGGCTTCCGTCAAAATGGCTGCTGCACTGGCCTAGAGGATGTCCCAGAGATGTCAAAATGGTGGAACCGAAGAGCCCCCTGGGCGAGTGGGGGTGGGACACACTGTCAGCCCTGCTCCAGAAACTGCCCCCTGCAGAAGCATCTGGGAGAGGCTCACTGTCAGGCCTGGGAGGGGACCAGAGTGCCATGCCAGCCCTCCCTCAGGCCCATAGCTGCGTCCTGGGACAGCTTGGGCAGGAACCGCTCTGGAGTTGTCTGTGGTCCGGCTCCACTGAAGACTCCATCCCAGAAACTGGCTTTCTGATCCATGGCAGAGGGAACCACCTTCCTCTGAGGCCAAGTCCCCACCTCCACAGCCCTTGGTCATCTGCTAGATCAAAGTTCCGCGGTATTCTTGGCAGAAACGTAAAATTTATATTTTGCAAAAATCAAGCCAAGTCAGGCAAGAAGATTTTCACGTTTTTCTTTTCTTTAGCTCCCGGTTCAAAACCCAACTGATACCTTATTTCCCAAACACAGAAATATAATGTGTAATATGACCGGAAAAATACTTCCCACCGCTGAGGACACCTCTGTTAGATCCTGGCCTTCATGATGACACCGTGAGGCAAAGATTACTGACCTCATCTTACCTAAGGAGTACACTCTGTCCCAGAGAAGCTGGTGCTAGCCAACGGTTTAAGTCCTCCTCCTTCCAAACTCTGCACCTAAGCTATCCCTAGACTGCTGCTGGGAAAACAGCCAGGGATCCAATTCCAGCCCTGAATGGAGACTACCTGCATGACACTCAGTTTCCTTACTGGTAACAAAGGGATGAAAATCCAGCATAACTGCAATTCTCTGCTATTCCCAAATAAACAAATTTTTGCTGGTAAAATAACTGGCAGTTTCATTTCCAAGGTTAACAAACTCATTTACTCAGCACGTATTCACACAGGGTACACTAAATGCCGAGAAACTCACTGGGTGCTAGAGACAAGACGCAAAACACAGAAATCCTGCTCGCAGTCATGAATCGGGTAATGGAAAAGCGGGCGTTATAAACACGCTCTACACTCAGTTGTGTGGGTTCTGGGAAGAGCTCCGCGCAGGTGCACAGGGGCGCGGCCGCGCAGGTGGATGCACGTAACAGGCTTGGGCAAGCACAGCCAAGCTCCAGGTGTGCAAGCGTCCTGAGCGCAGAGGACGTGCCACTCACAGGAAAACCTTGGCTTCCCAGGCAGGCCCCAGGCGGGAAATTCCAGAATATTCCAGAAGAGTTGGGAGGAGCAAGGAAAACGGTGCCCAAGCCCATCTTAGCGCTGAAACCTAACAGTAGGGCGCCCGCTGCAGGCGAACCGAGCAGAGTTCTGGGCGCTGCCAAGGGCCGGCGGCTTGCAGAGCTGCTCCCCCAAAAGCCGCGCAGGTTACACCCCGGGGGCCGCGAGCGCCCTCTGCGGACCATGGCATCAGGGCCGCCGACACCGCCTCCTAAATGGGGAACCAAGCCCCGAGCACGGCCAGCCGCGAACACTCAGGCACCATAAAGCCAGCCCTGCCTCCGCCCCGGACAGAGCGCGCTACCTTGTCCACCTGCGCGGCACAGAGCAGGTCCCGGGCCTCCAGGAAGGAGAAAACGTGCAACAGTTCGTGGAACCCAAGCCGCGGCTCCATCTCGCCCCGCCGACCCGGCCCCTCGCACCCTCCACACCTTCCACACGCTTCGGCGCCTCCGGGCCAAACCGCACCCCACCTCACCACGCTTGCGCAGAGCTGGCCCGACCCCGCCCATCCCGCCGCTCTTCCGCCTCGCTCGGCCCAGTCTCGTCCATCCCACCGCGCTTCCGCCCCGCAGGCCAAGCCCCGCCCACCCCACCGCGCCACCGCCCCACTCAGCCAAACCCCGCCTATCCCGCCGCGCTTTCGCCACGAAGGCCAAATCCCGCCCATCCCACGGCAAGTCCAGCCCACAGGCCATACCCTCTCAGTCCGCGACACTTCCGGCCAAATCCAAACCCACCGCGCTTCCACTACTCTCGGCAAAACCCCACCCGTCCACGGTGCTTCCGTTCCAGTCTTGCCCCACCCATCCCGCCGCACTTCCGCCCCGCAGACTCCGCCCCCGTAGTGCTCCAGCTCTTCGGGGTCAATCCTGTTGCAGCCAGACAGCGATCCACCTCGTGCAGTACCCATCTCGCCCCGCTGCTCCCACTTGCCTCTGCCCGCCCCCTCGACCCTCGCCCTAACCTTCACCCCTGCACTAACGCTCACGACAGGGCCCGTGAAGCGAAGACCTCCTCAGCCCTGGCCGTTGCCCTCACCCTTGCCAGTAAATGCCCTGTCCTGCATTGCGTCTCCACTTTTACTCTCTCAACCCGGCCTTTGACAAGGTCCTCTCCTTCACCACGGTCGGGCCGCCCCTACTCCTGACACTCACCCTTACCTTGACCACGACCTCCCCTTCAACCTCGCCCTGCTTCTAACCCTCAACTCTGCTATCATCTGCCATCTCCCCTACCTTCACCTGATCCTGGCCCCGGAACCCTCAGTGAACTTCACCTGGCCGTGATCCCCAGCCTCAGTCTGACCTTGACATTCAAGGTCAGGGTCAGTGGTAGAGCTGTGGGTACAAGCTCAAATTTATACGGAGCTTAGAGCTCCCAGAAGGTCTCGAGACGGCAGCTTAGAGTTGACAGAAGATGTGGCTGGAGAAACAGGCACACATCCCTCAAACATCAGACCTCTCCCTGAAAGCAACAACTGAGTCTACCCTGTTTTGCATTGGCCTAGGAGCTTGGAGGGCAATGAGCCGTCCTCAGTGTTCACAGAAGTTCGTTCATCCACATGAAGAACAAAGTGGTATTTTACGAATAAAAGACCGCTAAGTTTCTCCGCTCTGTTTTTAATTCTTCCTGAACTAAGACTGCATTGTCCCAACTGTTGAGTGCTACAGCATTAGGTCTAACGGAGTGAGTTTCTGCTGCCTTCTCTTAACCCTTTTATTTCCGTACACATTGTAGAAATAGCTTATCAAATCTTATTAAACAACAAGGGCTGATTGGGCTTGTATTTGGATTTACTAAATTAAGACATGAGTTCCAGGAATGCCTATCTCCTCACTTGCTCTGTATCTAAGGAGGTGACACGTCTGGTCCTGGCTCACCCTTATCCTGAGGGTAGAGATGTTGGTACAGGCTTAAACCTGATCAGTCCCCAACCTAAGCCATCCCTGGGCTTGACTTCTGCCACCCAGCCTCCAAATGGAAGCTCCACTGTACGAAGCCCCCAGGACCAGAGTAGCCATGAATGGGTCCACTTTCCTCATGACCACAGAGAAGCAAGGGCCAGGAACTGATGCCACTTGAGCCACTTCCTTCAAGAGGAATGGAAGGGGGTAGACACCAGGCAGAACTACCTGGGCTTTTCCTAATAAATCTCAAAACTGAACTAGCTTTTAATGTCTCTGAAAACAAAACCAAAACAGACCTACCCTTCTGCCTCTGTTCCACTGTGAGGACATCGTTACACTCTGTGCTGCCCTGAACTGGGACCGTCCCTGACTGGGAGGCCAGGGCCTGAAGGACCAGCACCATGACAGGCACAGCCCCAAAGCCCACAAAGTCAGCAGCACACAGATGGGAAGCTGACAGCGCAGGCTGCTGGTCTCTTCTGCTGCGGCTGGACGTGCTCATCGCCTGGCTGGGAGCGGGACCAGGCATGGAGTGGACCAAGGGAGGCTGGGTAGAGACCATGGGAGGTCGAGTCAGGCTAAGCAGAACAAGGCTGGGGGGCTCTGGGGAGCAGGACAGCGGGGCTGGCCCAGCGTCTCAGCCTTCTGGGATGAAGGGCCGGATCAGCTCCGGGTTCAACAGTGACTCTTCGAGAGGCCGGTCCACGTGGAAGTCATGGACGTGGGGGGGCCCTGGGTGGGCCTTGGGAGCAGGTCCCCCTGGGCGCTGGGGAATCGGCAGCTCTGAAGGGTGGGCAGGCAGGGGAGCCGTGAAGAAGTACTGGTGCAGGAGGGCCTGGGGGCAGCAAGAAGGGACAGCAGAAGGAAATCAGTCACCTCACTATCCCAGCCTCGGCGCACTTCCCCAGGAGGGGGGAATCTGAGCACCCCCCTCCCGAGGCTCGCTCCCACAGCATCTGAGTGCTCATCGTCTGAGCACTGTTCCAGAAGCTGGCAGAACCAAGAACCTGCCCTCGAGAAGTCTTCCGTGAGTCAGGGGTGCTGTGGCTGACAAGATAAAGGAGGAAGATACAGGGTGCATCACATGACTAGGGCTGTGGCAGAGACAGCAAGTGGCGAGGGACGCTGGAGAGGCTGCAGGCCTGCAGAGTGGGGCTCGACCAGAGAGCTGAGAGGGGAGCAGGTGAGGCCCGAGGACGCAGAGTGCACCTGCAGCCCAGGGGGGGAATGAGCAAAGGAGCTGGCAGGGCCAGAGGTGATGGCCCCAAGTGTGTGACACCCTTGGGCCCCTCGGACCTGGGCTTCTGCTTGTGGGGGAGGCAGTGTGCAGGGGTTCAGACTGCGGGAAGTGGTCAGATGACCTCCGCCCACTTTAGACATCCTGATGATGTGAGAACTCACGGAGCTAGTGCTAAGAGCAGCCGTGAGGCTGGGGACACGGGTACACCCAGGACAGAGGCCCTGGCACTACTGGCCAGCAGTCTAAGGTCCTCCCCATCCTTCCCTGCCACACAACCCACCCTTCTGGGTCCCCCCTGCCAGACTCTGCTCATCATTTCTCCCCTGCTTAAACCTGCACTCCCCGAAGTCAGTCCCAACTCCCCACCCCCAGGGCCCAGGATGATACCGGGCGTGTGCAGGTGCAGAGTATCCGTTGAAGGGATGAGGGTGCCAGTCACCGATAATCCAGATACTCTCTTCTGCAAGGTGGGCATGGGGCCTTTGACCTGCCCGTGACCCCCTGGGCTCTGGTTCCAGCCCGTCACAGGTCCCGAGGGGCCTCAGCCTTGGGCTTGCAGGGCCCGAGCAAGGAGGATCAGGGACAGCGGGTCACCGTACCTGGGAGGCTGCGATGCGCTGGCGCGGGGGGTAGAGGAGGAACTGCCCCAGCAGGTCCAAGGCTTGAGGAGACGCGTCGGGCAGCACCTCCTCCAGGGGCACAGGCGCCTGCTCCTTGAAGGAGATCTTGTTGTAGTCGGGCAGCTCCATGATCTCCTAGAACCACCGTCATCAGTTCTTGCCCACTATGGCCCCCCGCTCACTCTCCCCCGCAGCTCCTGCTGTCACTCCTGAATTCCCACATCCCCTCCCTGACTCAGGCACCTGCGCCATACCCAACTCGGTGAGAAGTGCAAGTGTGCTGGGAGGGAAGGGGCAGGACCTGGCCTCAGGCACCCAGCAGGGCAGAAAGGAAGAAGCCCCCAAGGGAGGCCAGGACAGTGGTCTGGGAGGTCAAGGAGACATGGGGCCATGAGGAGAAGGTGCAGGGAAGGGCAGCCCTGGCCACTGGGGGGAAGGGAGGACCCCTACCCCTAGCCCCTCCCCACCGGGAAGCCCTGCAAACCGGCCAGACTTGAGGACTGGGGGTGCCCAAGATTCGAAGCACACAGCAAAGCTGTTCGATGTCGTTCTCCCCAGGAAATAGAGGGGAACCGTTCAGCAATTCCCCCAGGATGCAGCCCACAGCCCTGTGGATACAGACCCAAAGAGCTCAGAGATCTCACACCGGGACCCAGATCTCCCCCCGCCAGTTCCGTCGCCTCACACCAAGGACATAGATCTTCCCACATAGCACCCACACCCGCACACTGGAGCCAAGGCACCATGAAACAGCACAAATGCTTCAGATCTAGGAATACAAATTCATACACAAAGACCACAAGCCTAGAACACAGAACGCATCCTCCTACCGAAGAGCTCACTGGCCTCAACCCTAGAAAACACAGCAACACCCTCAACGGTTCTGAGACTTCTCAGAGCCTCATTTCGAGAACATGCAGCCGCCACCTCACACTCCCCACCTTCTGGGCCACACCTCCAAAACTGCCCCCACATGTCAAGCTCTTAGGCATGTACAGACCATCCTGGCCCAAATAAAGGCTCAGAGAGATCCGGGCCTCTGGAGAGCTCACCTCCTGGGGTATACACAACCCCCTGCCCAGTAATGCAGATGATCCCTACGTCTTGAACCCCAGACCACGTCCCGCACTCCAGCCCACAAGCTTCCCACTCTGAACACACCGGACCCCCACCCAGCTCAAAAATGTCAGAGAGGAAAACTGACCCCAAACTCCTCAGAGATCCTCCGACCAGGGAAGACACCCCCAAATGGCTCAGCAACCCCAAAGCCCAGGAATAAAACCCAGATTCCCCCACGCCCAGCCCACAAGAGCCTCACCACAGGTCAACGCCCTGGTCATACTGGCGGGCACCGTACAGGAGCTCAGGGGCTCGGTACCACCTGTGGGGGGTGGGGGGAGCAGGCAGTCACAACCAGGTCGCCGGTCTTCCAGAAGGCTGCCCAGACAGGTCACCCCAGCCCCACATCAGCCCCACAAGCAATATCTGAACTGAAGGTCCAGAAGCATCTCATCCCCAGTGAGAAGCTGGGGTCCGCCCATTGCCAAGCCCTGCCTGGGAACTGGCCTTCCCTACCTGGTGGCCACCTGGTGTGTGTAGAGGCGGCTGCCGTCTGGGGAAAAGACCCGGGCCAGACCAAAGTCCGCTATCTTGAGCTGGC